CGTTTGTTATATGTATTTAAAGTGCACGTAACGGAGATGCAATCACGTGGTACTGTAATACGGTTTTCGAAATACCCCACATCACATTAATCCCTTAAGCCAAATGGTAAATACATATACCACCAGTCTTAACTTTGCATTTTGACCACAGTGTATTTGTGGTTTTCGTATGATTCTCACAATAAACAGTGATTATTTCCCCAAACAGCATTGACCAATTTGACTTTGTAATGGTTAAGTGTTATGTTTTCTTTGCGGTACGGGCTGGATTTTCAAATACTATTTAGTTGAGATTCGGTTTCAAAGTGTTAAGCGAAATATACCAGCATGTAGCAAAGTGCATTAGCCTTGTAATGTCTAACTTTTCAATCTAAGTAATCGAGCTAATAACAACACTTTATCAATCGCATTAGTTACACAGCATGGAATCTGAAATTATATAAAATAACAAATGATACCGGTGAAGTTGGTGTACCTGGTTCAGATCCCGGTAGGGTCACAGGTCATTCTTACTGAAGTGTTTCGTTCTTCTCTTCAGTTCTTACATATAAATGTTTGGACAGCAGTTTAAAATAGGTCACGACAGCCTCCTATAACCTGAGATCCGTTGAATATTTCGGTTTTGGGTTTCCTAATTATCTTCAGTAGGCCAAGACAGTTTCTTTCCACGTCTCTACATACAAATCATCTTCCCAATACTGATATAATATTACACCTGTTGCTGAAACAGGATCGTTAAACAATCAATCAATCAATATTTCGTTCATTGAGAGACAACCATATCTACAAAATAAATTCGTAATCTGACATAATCCGTTCCACTAGATGTCAGCAGTAAAGTCTATGTTAAAGTTCTATCCACACTCTTAAATAATCAGTGTTAATTGATGGTTTAAGCCATCCACCTGCTTGCCTTTCAAGACACTCACACGGCAGTAAATAATTTCTATATAAAAATATAAATAATTAATTGATGCCACTAAGTATATTCCAAAATTTTAAAATTCTATGTGACCTTCCACCTAATTACATAAAAATGGGGTTGGAGTAGTAATATTAGGACTCTGGTTATTATTAACCAAGGACATATGAAATGCAACAATAGCATCAAAGACATTGTTTCAACGATGCGATGGATGACGCGAGAGGCAGACATAGACAGGCCCATATATGTTATTATAATCTTGTAAATGATATGCAATTCCTTCCCTTGACCGACTTTACTCTTGCAACTTTATTGACTGGTTTATTCGCGTCCTCCAGATCACAAGTAGCACATAACACTTCTGACCTGATAAATTTCAAGCTCAGCGCTGAAGTCACTTTGCCCGGCCAGAAATCTGAATTGCAAACTTAGAGCAAAATATTCTGCCGACTACAAGAGAACCAACACATTACAAAATATTTCCTAGTCGTTTGTGGAGTTATTCCACTCTTCACGGAAAATTAATAATAACAAACGCCACTGGCGCAGCGAATTAAATGCGAAGGATGAAAAGTTGTACATTTAATATAAATCATAAAGTAAACCGTCATAATTCTTTCAGCTGAGGATTATGAGATGAACGACTAGATTTGATACCCAGGGATAAATATGCCGGAGCGTGAAGCATCTCATATCCACTGCCGACATTCAGAAGGCGTAGACATATTCTTTGACTCTCCCTACATTCCTCTATGATGTGATGGATACAGACAAATCACTAATTTGCCATTACTACTTAAAATTGACACTTTTATTCAAAACTTCCTTCTTTTCTGTACTAAATAATTCAGGTTATAAACAGTTTAACAGTACGTCCGGACGCGAACGCAGGTATGAAGATTACTGTCGTCCGGGTTGTAGCGCCGCGTATTTCAGTAGAATTTCACCGACGTTTCAGAGGTATTCCTACCTCCATCATCATCCACCACCACACATCATCGCCCTGATGATGGAGTTAGCAAGCACCTGTGAAAACGTCGGTAACCTTTTACCATACTTTATGGCGCTACAACCCACAAGACAGCCATCTTCAAACATTTCCTCTTTTTTTTTTTTTGGGGGGGGGGGTTATTTAACAACTCTTTTACAATAACAGAGGTTACAGACCATGGATGCAGACGGCTGTCACCTGTTTCAATGACTGAGATCGACATTCGTTTGAAGAGAGTGAAAAATTAAAAAACGAAAAATTTCAGTCAGATTAACTGGTGACCTAAACGAGATTCGAAATGGGTACCTTCCTGACATTAGTGCAGAGCGCTACCGGTACATCAAATTGCTTTGTCAGACAGTATCGACTGAAATATAATGGTTCTATGCCGTGACAGTTCATTGGTCCCACGAACACGCTGTTTTCATGTACACGCATAGATATTAAAAGACGCAGACGCACGCATTTCTATTTGTGGGGGAACAATGAAACGCGAAGTAGTCAAATTCATGTAACCAGCGAAGTGTACATGCTTTTTAATGTCGTGCCTTCACCATCGTTCGTGAGGTCCCGGTCAGAGAGCGTGGGCAATTACGATACACTTCCTGGATCAATGCCACTTGTGCTTTGCGATCAGAACCCACAACCATGGAATTAGACCCAATTCCATGGGGAAGTTTCATCGAACTCGTGTGATTAAGGAATTTTGTTTTATGGGTCCCAAAGGTTCATCTCCGTATTCACGAAAAGTCAGCCACTGTACCACATACTAAGCCAGGTTAATCCAGATCACACCCCCACATCATAATTATATGGATTAATTTTAATATTATCCTACTATGTACTACTATATCTTACATGCCAACTTTTGTATAAAGTTTTTAAAAACCAACATTTATACGCTTTCCAATTTCGTCTAAACGAATTGCCCAATTAACCCATGAGATAATCATCCAAATAAAATTTGATGAAAATCGTTCATTATAGAATATTTCGTGCGTATTTCTTAGTTCATCTCTCCTAGCTCCAAAATTCTCCTCAACACTTAGTTCTCAAACATTCTCAAACAATGCGAGACTTAAGTCGGCCACTTCTATTTTTTTTAAAGAAATAACGGTGCAAGTGTAAGTACCAAAGATTTAGGTGAAAATGAAGGTGGATGGCCGTAGAAGACCGGATGAGACAGTTCTTTAGAGGGAGTTCAAATAATTAAAGTTATAACAATTAAAATTATCTAAAATTCCCTTATGTATTTTGTTCTAAGAAGCCTTCCCTAATCAATCTCACGACAGTTTCCGCTGCCACTGCATAAAAGGTCTGAGGAAAATCACGAAAACCTCAAATCATGATAGTCGGCCACGAGGCCAAGATATGAGTCCCGTTCCGCCAGGATACGAAGCGGGCTGCTAATCAATCGACCGCTGTGTTCAATATTCGAGATTCAAACCGGGTACCTATGGAATATAACTCCACGTCTTTACTCCTACACCGAATTGTTTTCTGTAACAAAGTTTGACACTCTGCCCGCGGGTGTTGACAAATTTAGCCTTCACCTACTTACGAGCTCCTAAGGTTTTAACTATATTGGCCTTGTAAGTTAAGAAGTAAGTGAAGTCGACACACAATACGAGGTTCGACTGACTTATTCCATGGCCGACCAAACTTGGAACAGATGAGTATAGAGGCAATGACAGAAAGATGATTAGCAGCGGGAAATCAAATAACTCGGAGAAAAACCTTCCCCAGTGCCACTTCGTCCACACGAGTCTCACTTGCATTTACCCGGGATTGAACTCGGGTCTCCTTGGTCTACTCTTCTGATAAACAGCTGTAGAGCGAGTTGAGTTTGGAGTTAACGCAGGTTCAGAACTGTTTCTGACCAAGAGCTCTGAGTATCGGGATAGCGTTGTACTTGTATTCGAGAAGCACTGTTTGAATCTCGGCTGGACAGTACGCTATACGTGGTTACTGGGTCATGACTGTCGCCTTTGAAATTCTCTTAGTCACAATTCATAACAATCTTCTTACCCCTGAAGGGTAGAGACATCTCGGAAGACCTAGACTTAGATGGAAGGACTATGTTAAAATGTTAGGAAATAGGATGGTAGGATGTGGAATTCATTCTTATACTGAGGACAGCGGCCAGTGACGGGCTTTTGTGAACACGACAATGAACCTTCCGGTTCCATAAAACTCAAGCAATTTATTTACTATCTTAGCAAATATCAGCTTCTCGATGGAGCTAGACTCTGTTTCTCGTAGTTCGTTTAGTCAGTTACGAACGATAAAGTCTGAAACATCGGAAGTAAATTTTGTGCATGTATGTCCACGTTATTTTTCGCATATAAATGCACTTCTCACTCCTCATAGTCAAACCACACTGCTCTGTTAGAAAATAAGCAGGATCACCGCAGAACAGGCTGGACGGATGTAGAACGGCAAGAATTTATCACGTTGTTGCGCGTAAATTCTGGCACTCAAAATCGCTCAAGAAATGAGAACGTAAGTTAATAGTTCTTCCTCTGGTAACCGGAGATTACATGCGTAAACTATCTGTGTTGTTGACGAAAATTCTGGTAAACCTTTCCTCTGAGTAGTCATTTTAAATTTAGGTGGGCCTCAATATCTGCCATTATTAAATTCCTACATTAATGTATGACGGAACATTCCTAGCACGGACAATAATTCTTCAAATCATCAGAACCTCCCATCCAGCATGGGGGGGGGGGGGGGGGGGGGGTACTCTTCCTGTCTTCGCCTCCTTTTTTTTCCAAACAAGAAGTGCTTTATTTTAATTCAGGAGTCTTTTTCCTTGTCAATAAAAATAAATATGTCAACCAAATTTTATATGGAATGTCTGAAGGGAATAGGAAGTATAGGAATAGATGGGAAAATATTATTAAAATAGATCTTATGAAACTGAATGTGGACTGGATGCATTTAGCTCAGGATAGGGTCCAATGATGGACACTTGTGAAAAGATTAATTAAACCTTCGAGTTCCATAAAAGGCAGGGAATGACTTGACCGTCTAACAACTGTTGAGCTCCTCAAGTTAATAATAATTGTGTACATACGTTCACAGTCGACATCGATGTCCTCATCGTACAGAGTCGGAAAAGCCTCCGTTCGACCTGCAGCCAGATGTGGGACTCGGTGGTGTTACTTCGCAGTCGCACGCCGCTTACCACCCATACACGTCAGAGGAGGCGCAGCGCCCCAAACTCCATCGCCTGCACACTGCCTTGGAACTGCCTGATGGACAACTGGACACAGTATCTTCTTACCGCGCCGACTACGACGAGAAACATGCAGACAGACAGTCCAGGTAAGACAAAGAGGTGACCACGCCAGCAACACTAGAGGCATCGTAGCATAGTCACAGTCTTTTGCTGGAGACGGGTGTGTGGGGGGGGGGGGGGGGGGGGGCACATGTGAAATGGAGGGTCAGGAGGTCATCCACTGGGAAAATTCAGAGGAAAAACATGATTATTAAGCTATTGGAGCATGGTTGAAATTGCATATGGATTTTGACAACTTAATCTCCAGTAGTTGAATATATTTTTGGGCACATTTACCCGTGGGTTTAAATAAATGTACAGTTGTAGTAAAATAAAAAATATATAAGTAAATCATGTGACACATTTCTATTGTTCTTGTAGTAAAAATATGAGAAAAAACACAGTACAGTGACTAGCTACAGGTTGGGGAGTCAGGGTTCGATCCTCAGATGGGATGTTGGTCGTTACTTTCTTCATTTCCATGTAAAATACTGCTCTGATGCACCCTAACACCTGTTTGAAGGATGACATGCTGTTCCCAGGGGTAAAAACAGATGGATCTTGATGCTTTCTACTCAACTTCAACTAACATAATTAATAATGCACATAATGTAATTTCCATGTCGCCCTACATGCCCTCATGACACGAGCAGTTTAATCAAACAAGACACTCTGCCAAGAAAAGACACTTTTATGTAAGATTTGAGGTTTTCAGAGCGGCGAGTATGAAGATTTCTGTCTTCTGGGTTGTTGCGCTGTGTAGTCTGTCCGATGTTAACCAACGTTTCAGAGGTCATACTGCGATCGCCCTGATGACGGAGGCAGTATGACCTCCAAAACGTTGGTAGACACCGACCAGACTACACAGGGCAACAACCCAGAAGACAGAAATCGTCAAAAGACACATTAACAATATTTAATGGATGGTAACAATCACACATGTGGCAATGAAAAATTTAGTAAAATCACCACTTTTAAGCAAGTTCAGCATGAATGGCATAATATCAAGTGTAAACTGGACAAACACCATAATTGATCTGTTTTCTTCTTTGCCAATGCCAATCAGCTGCATACAAGACAAAACTAGTAACACTATTAAAACCTTCTTTCTAGGTATAAGTACGAAGATCATCTTCACCTAGAAGGCGAATTCCAAGGCACCCCCCATACAAGAGAAGATTTCAAGCCAGTGAGAGGAGAGCGGGCGCCTGTGCTTAGACATGAAGATCACCTGAAACTGGAAGGAAAATTCGGTGGCCAGAGTCACCTCCGAGAAGAATTCCAAGTTGTTCGTGGTGAAAGGGCAGAAATTCGTCGCCATGAGGATCATCTTCGCTTAGAAGGCGAATTTCAAGGCACCCCCCACACAAGAGAGGACTTCAAGCCGGTGAGAGGAGAAAGAGCTGAAATTAAGAGACATGAAGATAATTTGAAACTTGAGGGTGAGTTCAGGGGGGAAAGACGAGATGAATACACCATCACTAAAGGAGAACGTGCAGAAATCAAGAAACATGAAGATAACCTCAGGTTACAAGGAGAGTTTATGGGTGAGAGACGTGATGAATTTACAGCACTCACAGGTGAAAGAGCACCTGTCAAAAAGCCAGAAGACAATCTGAAACCACAAGGGGATTTTACAGGTAGAAAGAAAGACGATTTTCCTGTTGCAAGGGGTGAACGGCCACAAATAAAGAAACCACAAGACAACCTGAAGCCTGAAGGAGAATTTGAAAGGCCACATCCTACTAAATATAGTCCTGGAGAAAGAGCAGATATTATCAAGCATCCAGACAACCTGAAAATGGAAGGTGATTTTGACAGACCTGAAAAAATAAAAAGCAGCCCAGGAGGACGCTCTGATATCATTAAACACCCTGACAACTTGAAACTCGATGGTGACTTTGATAGACCTCAACCAAGAAAATATGGTCCAGGTGATAGGGCTGATATCATCAAATATCCTGACAATCTAAAACTAGAGGGCGATTTTGAAAGACCTCAGCCATCAAAGTTTAGCCCAGGGGAAAGGGTAGAAGTCAACAAACCAAGAGACAATCTGAAGCCTGAAGGAAATTTTGAAGGAACTCCTAAATCTAAGGATGACTTCAAACCCTTAAAATATGAACGAGCTGATGTTAAAAAGCCTAAAGACAACCTTCGACCTGAAGGGGAATTTACAGGCCAAAAGAGAGATGAGTTCACAGCCATCAGAGGCGAAAGAGCTCCTGTAAAGAAGCCAGAAGACAATTTAAAATCAGAAGGAAAATTCATTGGTGAAAGAAAAAATGAATTTACAGTTGTTCGAGGGGACAGGGCTGACATTAAAAAACCAGATGACAATTTAAAACCCAGTGGAGATTTCACTGGCCAACGAAAGACCATTACAGAGTTCACAGGTGAACCGGGTGAGCGCCCTCCCCTCATTCGACGTAACACATGGACCAAACTGGAAGGAGAGATATTTGCACAGACCACTAGTCGTAGTGAGTTCCGAGAGTTCCAAGTAGTAGAAAGGGCTGAGAAAGTTCGTCGGCGCAGTGACAATCTCATTGTGGGAGGAGGAGAATTCCAGGTAAGGCATTTTTGATTATGAAAGAAATTCCCAAGTCATTACGAAAAGTTTCTTTGGAAATCAGGGCTCAACAAACTCAATAATCTGCTTGAATACGATGTGAGGAATAAAAATATATCTTTCGAACAGTAAATATATTACTGAAGTGGGTATGAAGGCCTTTGTTAATGTGACACTAAAGTCAGGTTGTAGGAAAACGTTTACTGCAAAATACAATTTGACTACTGTTTTCTATTCATTACTTTGCGAATAATTAATTGATTTAACACTGCAAATGTCAGATTTAATCAGTTCCTTCCAGGTTGATTACCAGAGCTTTTCAATTACACTACATCCAATCATAAGATCACATTCATTGCACTGAATTTCCTGCAACCTGTACATGATTACTAAATGCTATAACATATTCATTCTGAATAATTTCTTTTTAGCAGTTTAATTCATTACTTTGTCCAAAATGTATGTTTAGGGAACCTCCCACCAGAAGGAAGACTTCAAAGCTGTCACACCAGAGAGGGCAATTATTCAACGACACCCAGATAACCTTCATGTCCCAGAAGGCGAGTTTGTGAGTGCAACAAAGAATCGTGATGATTATCCCGAACGCTGGGCTGTTAGACCAGAACAGCCTCGCCGACACCGAGACAACCTCGTGCCTATGCGAGGTGACTTCCAGGGCATCTCCAGCTCTAAAGAAGCTTACCAGGCACACCAAAACACTGTGAGGACTGAAGTGAAGAAACATATTGACAACTTAACTACTGAGGGTACTATGACCTTTGAATCCTCATCTAAATCAGAATTTACAGAAAAGACTGGCAGGCGAGAGAGAGCTGAACGTCGTCGAACCTGGACAAAACAGGATGGAGAAATGTTCTTTGAGACAACTAATACAGAAGAATATAAGACACCACAAACACGGCAGGGAATTCAACGCATCATCAGACAAGACAACTTGTGTGTTGATGAAGGAAATTTTGAAAACTGCATCACTACCTCACAAGAAGTCTATAGGACATTCCATGACAAAGATGTGAGACAGACACAAAAGCGTTATACAGACAATTTAAGAATTGAGGGTTCCTTTGAAGGAACACCAAAATCAAAAGAGGATTTCAAGATGGTAAAAGGTGAAAAAGCATCTATGAAGAAACCAAAGGATAACTTAAAACCAGAAGGGGACTTTGATGGAAAAACTCACTCTCAACATGACTTCAAAATGGCAATAGTAGACAGACCAGTTCCAACTAAACCAAAAGATAATTTAAAACCTGAGGGTGAATTTGAAGGATCGCCAAGGTCCAGAGATGATTACAAACCAAGCGTGGGTGACAGGGCAAATATAAAAAAGCCTAAAGATAACCTGAGAACTGAAGGCATTTTTCAAGGATCACCTAGTTCAAGAGACGACTTCCAACCAACGAAAGGTGATCGTGAACCAGTGCGAAAACCAAAGGACAACTTAAGGCCTGAGGGTGATATTGAAACGCCAAGACCTCATAAATATGAACCAGGTGATCGTGCTGAAATTAAAAAACACCCAGACAACTTGAAACTTGAAGGAGAATTTCAGAGGCCACAAACACCAAAATACCAAGCTGGTGAACGTCTTCCAGCAACAAAACCCAGAGATAACTTGAGACCTGAGGGCGATTTTGAAAGACCAAAACCCACATTATATGGTCCAGGCACCACAGCTGACATTATAAAACATCCTGACAATTTAAAATTGGAAGGAAATTTTGAGAGGCCTCAACCAATACAATATGGCCCAGCAGAAAAATATGATATTAAGAAACCAGCAGACAATTTGAGACCACAGGGAAGTTTTGAAGGTTCTCCAAGATCCAGAGAGGACTACAAAAGACCTTCCAAAGGACAACGTGCTGATGTAAGGAAACCAAAAGATAATCTTCGACCTGAAGGACAGTTTGAAGGTACTCCAAGATCACGAGACGACTTCCAGCCAACAAAAGGAGATCGAGCTGATATAAAGAAACCAAAAGATAATCTTCGACCTGAAGGACAGTTTGAAGGTACTCCAAGATCACGAGACGACTTCCAGCCAACAAAAGGAGATCGAGCTGATATAAAGAAACCAAAGGACAATTTGAGGGAACACCTAGGTCAAGAGATGATTACCAATGCACTAGAGGTGACCGAGCTGAAGTTAAGAGACCACAAGATAATCTCAGACCAGAAGGAGATTTTGAAGGAACACGAAGATTAATGGATGACTATAAGCCCACCAAGGGAGACCGTCCCAATGTAAAGAAACCTACCGATAATCTCCACCCAGAAGGACAATTTGAGGGAACACCTAGGTCAAGAGATGATTACCAATGCACTAGAGGTGACCGAGCTGAAGTTAAGAGACCACAAGATAATCTCAGACCAGAAGGAGACTTTGAAGGAACACCGAGATCACGGGATGATTTCAAACCAAAACATGGTGAGCGAGCAGATGTCAGAAAACCTAAAGACAATCTTCGACCTGAAGGACAGTTTGAAGGATCTCCAAGATCAAGAGATGACTTCCAGCCAACAAGAGGTGACCGTGCTGATATAAAGAAACCAAAGGACAATTTGAGGCCAGAAGGAGAGTTTGAAAGACCTCGGCCAGATGAATATGGTCCTGGTGATAGAGCTGACATAATTAAGCACCCAGATAACCTCAAATTGGAAGGTCATTTCGATCGTCCTGAACCTCAAAAGTATGGCCTTGGAGAGAGGGCTCATGTTAAGAAACCAAAGGACAATCTTCGACCTGAAGGACAGTTTGAAGGATCTCCAAGATCAAGAGATGACTTCCAGCCAACAAGAGGTGA